TTTATGCAAAAATATATTATACTCATCCTTTCTTCTTGGCATATTTAACATCCTTCCTTGAGATATCAGACTTTATAATTTTTGTTGCAATGTAGTCCGAAGATTAAAGTACACAATAACCACAAGGCATGCTTCATTTGAATTAAAAATACATTTTATATTAAGGTTTTTATAACATTGAAATACAATAATTTTGTTATGAATCAATTAAAAATAAATGAATCAATGTCACATGATCCAAGTAGATAAAAGCCCAATTTCTTCTTTCTAAATCTGATATTAAAATCAAATTTTCATCTGTTACCTTTTTCACATTCAACATTACAAGAAGGTAAATTTTAAATATACGACAAGTAAATCTTTATTTCAAAACCTTCTCAAACATCTCAAAGATTTTATATTATTTGTTTCAAATGTTATCACAATGTTTCAGTTATCATACCCTTCGGGCTTCATTAAGGGTATGTCAATCTGGGTAACCTACAGGAAATTTCGAAATGCACCCTTTATTTAATCTACTGGGTTAGACTGTTCCACTGTCCATTTCTAGGGATATCCCATCTAGTTCTTATTTTTAGTACTGCTTGGTTATTCCTTTTCCTGTGTCTACTGAATCTAAATACATACTGCCCATCCCATGGATTGAACTCCTAATTACTATGACACCAAATTCATGAACCAATGCTTTAATCCATTAGGCTACAGGACAAAAGCTTAAATAAATAACAAAAAAAAATAGAACAAAGTTTAGGCAAAATTAGATTTATGCCTTTCTGGTAATGAAGGTAGAATTGATATAAGCAGAAATTTTAAAATTTGAACATTGTTTGCTAGTGAAGTTTCCTAACCCAACAAGTATAACACAACTTCAAATACGGCTTTAGAAACAAAGAAGAGAGTACTGAACTGTTATGTAATATCAGTCCTCCTATATGGACAATCTCTTCACAGCTGAAGGCAAAACTTGAAACAACAACAATGCAGTTCTACAAAAGGATATTGAGAATACCATGAATTGAACATGGGAGCAACAAAGTTCTAATGACAATGAAAATAAAAAGGACTCTTATATTTCACATCAAGAAGAGACAACTGATGTTTCTAAGGCACATAATGAGGAAAGCAGGCTTGGAAATTTTGATATTCACAGGATAGACTGAAGGTAAGGGGGACAGAGGAAAACAACACCTAACCTACCTGGCAAGTTTAAGTGAATGAATGGGGGAACAGGGTTTTAGAGAGGTAGCAAAAAGACCAAATTTGTGAAGAGCTACAAAGGACAGGAAATTGTGGAGAGCCGTTATCACCAATATCATGAAAGGACACAGCACACAGAAGAAGGTTTGATATAGTAAAACATTAATTTCTCCACTAAAGAAAAATATTAGCTTGAAATGCAAAAATTAAGCTTATTTGCAGCCAGCAACAAAGAAAGACTTCTATTCATTTTAGATGCATTAGAGCTGATTCTGTTGTAGCGAAATCTTTTACTTTTTTCTGTTTTGTGAAAGTGATTTGCCCTTTTTAAGAAAAGGTCAGAATCAAAATGCAATAATAACAGTAATAAAATCTTGTGCCAAAGTAGAGAGTTCAATACAGTGACAGTCTGTAGTTCATGTCTGACAAAAACATTTCTTGTAAAATGTTTTGAGGATATTGGCTCTGGCTGATAATACTTTGATTAATATAATCAGTAGGTCTAAGATAGAACACCATTATTATATCAAAATCTAGTCACACTAATGTTGCCATCCTTTCTGTTATCTCAACATTGTAACTAATGCATTCATTGACCTTAAGTGTACAATTTGTCCAAGTTCTTGTTATAGATGGTTTTAAATCAAGGCATGATCTAAAATCATCTAATGCAAAGGAGTAAGCTGACTTTTAAATAATAATACTGATTATGTCAAAATCTTCTAATTTTTAGTACATGTTTGAAATACTGACAAAACTAGTTTATTTTAGCTATGGAAAACCCTAATTGTTCTTATTTCAACACAAACTTATACAAAAATATTCAAGAGAGGAATTTACTGAAAGAATTTCAATTATAAAAGGAAAATTAAAAGAGTAAAATCAGCAAAAAGTGAAAAAAAATGGAAAGATCTCTAATGTAATCAATCCTGACCTGGCATCTTGACCTCAGTCACTTTCCTCACGGACATAATGTAGCTTTCTTGTCTCTTCTACAAATATTTTAATGGCAATTTTTCTGATAAGATTTCTTCTATGGTGCCTCAACTGCATGAATTTTTGCATGCTATGAGATTGGTAACTAGGCTTCATCATTTTACTGCTGAACTAGCTAAATGCAACCGATATACACTTCTCACCCGTGGAACTCCTACTTTTTTGCTTGCCTGCTACCTTTATGTGTCATTTCCATTCAGGACATAGGCAATCATGGCCCTCCACATCTTCTTGTCACTTGTAGCTCAATAAATTTTGTCTTTTTGCTATACCTTCCAAACCCTGTTCCACCATCCATTTACTCAAGCCCATCAAGTATGTTATGCACCACTTTTGTCTGTCCCTCTTGCCCTCAATCTATCCAGTGAGTACCAGATTTTATCAAACCCTACTCATTCATTATGAGCTCCAGAAATTTCAACAGCCACTTCCTGATGTTAAGTTTCCTTTTTCTTTCCATTTTCTCCAAAGAACCTCCTCATTGCTCACATGTTTGGTTCATGGTATCCTCAGCATTTTTCTGCAGAACCAATTTTTTGTTGCTTCAAGTCTCTTCATCTTTGATGAGACTGTCCAACATTCACTGCCATACAGGAGGACAGATACCACCTAACAGTTCAGTACTCTTTTCTTTATTTCTAACAAAGTTTTTCTTGTCTATTAATACTCTTCTTAGCTTTTAGAATGCATCTTCAGATCTCACTTTCTGTCCTCTGTTAGAACACTTGCCAGATATTTAAATTTGTATACTTGTTTGATTTTACTATCCCCAATTTGTAAATTGCATTTTGAGCTGATCCTTTTGCTGACAGCCATGCATTCTGCCTTCTTGGAGTTTACAAATTTCAAAAATATAAATGCAATGCCAATTGCCATCTTCTGCTTTCCTGAATCCTGCTCTTTTATTGCCCTTTCTCCTCACTAAAGTTTTCTCATTCTCTTCTATTAACCTCTTGCATCTTAGTGGCATTATCACCTTGATTGGTGCAAAAGGAATGTTTCCTTCTTTTAATCTCTAAAAATTCAATCATCTGATGTTGGCTCATATTTCAAGAGAAAAATTATTGTCATGGAATTCATCTTTAGGTGCATGAAGAAGCTAAAGTGAAAATAGCAAACAGTTTATTCTTGAATTCAGAGTTTTATTAAATTCCCCAAGAGTCCTTTTCTGACACATCTCCTTGATAAGAGTAACAGATTGATGACAGCTGTCTGTCTCAGAAGATAAGAACCCTCAAAGTGGTTAACACAAATGTGTCTTTGACTAATTGCATGCAAGCTGAATGAATCAAAGTTTCTAATTCCAGAAATAAAATAACTTGTTTGTCCATGTGAAACATCCATTTCATCATGTCTGGCTGGACCAAATCCCAAATATATCTGACAGTAAAGTCTCTGGGCAGTAATTTTGCAAAATAATGTATTCTATAGTTATCAGCTAAACTGATATGAATGAGATATTTAGATCCCCAAGTACAGATTCATTTTTTCCTTTTATTGAAGAAATCCAAAATGACAGGTATTTATCATAGCATGGTATGTTCCTTCTTCTGAGATTAGTCAAATATTGAAAAGATATTAACAGAAAGAGTATAAAATCATTGATAAAAAGAGGAATTCTGGTAATTTTATTTAAATTGAAGAAAAGCAACGTAGAAAAACTTAAATTACTCAGAAAATTATCATTGAAAGGCAGAAAAAAAGAACAGTCATTGCAAAGACAAAATCAGAAATAATGATTATTATTAGAATAATGGCAATTAAAAGAATATGGAAATGTGAAAAGCAAAATAGACAGTAAACAATGAAAATGTATAAATAAAAATAAAAAGAGAAAAATATGAATCAGTTTTTAAAAGATCATGAAACTAGCAAAGAACATGTATGTTTCATCCTCTAAAAATTTTCTAAAATTATAAAGGTTCATTATCAAATGATAATATTTATGGCATATATTAATCAATTTTTAAATTAATTATATCCAGTTATATAATGTGGATAATGATAGATATCATGTGAATCTATTTTAATGTTTGGCTGTGCAGGTTGTGTAATGAGAAATCATCAAACTGAGTTCAAATTCGAACCAAGTTTGTTGAACTCACTTCTGCACAAATCCCCTTGGAAAAGTCATGAAGATATGTTCTTCCCCCAGTTAGGGGTTAAGTAGTGAGGTAAGGTTAAAGTTAGAAATAAGAAATTGGTAACCAAGTTCAAATTCTGGTCAAGTTTGTAACATTCACTTTTGCACCAATTCCCCTGGGAAAGGTATGAATATATCTGTTCTTCCCCTAACTATAGGTTAAATATTAGAGCAGACTGGGCTCTGTAGCTATGGCTGGCAACTGATTTAAGAGAGAACAACTACTCTAAATTCAAAACTCAGCTATCTGAAGCTATACACAGATGGTTAGACATGGGGTATGGACACTATATCTGTAAGACAAAAACAGTATTAGATTTCAATATTGTTCCTACCAGAGAGTGAATATCCAGAATGCCGTACATACCAATAGGCATTGGGCCCAAGAATTGATTCATTCATTTTATATAGCTTATCAACCCATTACAGGTTATTTAAAGCTGGGAAATATTTTTAGATTGTTAGAATTTGGGAGGATATAATAATGGTTTTGTGATACAAGTCTTACTAATTAACCCATAGCTGGGAGGAGAATATTTGGATTCATACCTTTCCCAAGTGTATTTGTGCATAAGTGAATGTAACAAACCTAACTGGAATTGGAACTTGGCTCTTTGATTAACAATTTTAAACCATTATCCATTACACCACTTGCACATCCAAGCTTACAGCACATGGTATTCCCATGCAGTCACCCATCTAGCTACTGACCAGGTTCGATGTTGTTTAACATCAGTGATCATACAGGAACTAGTGTTTCAATGTAATGTGGCTGTAAGCCTTATTCCTGGGCCCAAGAAAGGTGACTGGATGGATTCTGATGTTAATATTTGAAACCCAAGACAAACTATCGGGAATCTATTAAAAATATTTCCTAATATATAATAAGTATCAACTGTGACTAAAATAATTACTCATTCCATCGTATCTATATAAGAAACAAAAGCAGACTTTAAATTCTTGGAATACTATACAATATCTAAAGAAAGTAACTCATTTATTTAAATGATATTTCCAATATATTACTTCAAACATGGATGGTTTCAATGATCAGAACAAAGAAATCATTTACTTATCAATTTCAAATAGTGAATCCTTATCTTTCAAACATGCACATCTGTATGTAAATGTTAAGATTTGCTCTATTTATAAGAAAAGAGTGATCAATATCAAAGAGTTTATAAATGTCAACAGTGTTGGGATAGGAATCAACACTGTTTCATGCCTCAAAAAATCTTCAAACTATGAAATGAAGATTACTTGAGGTATGAAACTGACAGTCAACATGCAGTGTTGATTCCTATGCCTGCACTGACACTCTTATAAATATATCCACATACAAATTTGGAACAAGTAGGTAGTAACTGATCTCTTTAACAAGTACATTTGTGAAAACCTATTTGTGTATGTGAAAAAAATCATTAAATGTAATAGACTCAAAACGAATTGTTTTTAACAATACTTTATGTGTGTGTGTGTGTGTGTGTGTGTGTGTGTGTGTACAGAATATTTTGTGATCTGATAGAGATATCGTGTAAGATCCAGTAACGCTAATACTAGCTGTCATTTGAAGAAGATTCATTAAAAATATGCACATTGATCCAATAGCTAAACTCATTTTCTTTGTAGTACATATCAGAACAAATCTATGACAAATTGGAAAAAGATTTTTCATGTGGCACATTGCATCTGTTAGAACTTCAGGCTAAAATGATGTTTATGTTGATGTGATTACACATGTGCCTAAAAGAGAGAAGACAATGAAGTTTGGGTATATAGTCTAGTTATTAATACTTACGTGATTAAAAAAATTAAATTTAAAATGTATCATTTTTCTTTATATATATATATATATATATATATTATAAATTGATTTATTTAAAATATGTTTTTTTTTCGCTACACGGTTCTAACCATGTTTCAAAAATGGAAGCTAAAAGCTACGAATTTAATTTTGTAATTAAATTAAAGACATTAGTTCCATTTCATCCTCAAGCGAATTTTGGAGTAACTTTTGTGTCTTTAAAACCCAGTAATTTTAAAAGTTACCAACAAAAAGACCCAACAATCAGAGTGTTTGTTTATATATATTATATTAAAACCATTGGTCTGTTGGCCCAATGGTATACATCGGTTAACATCCAGAGACCTCAAGAAGAAAAGAAAGAAAAAGAAAAAGGAGAAAAAAGAAAAAGTAGACAATGAAGACTAAATGACCATCACAAAGATGTGTTGTGTTACATCACTTTAAGCACACTAGTAGTTCAGCGTAATACATCTGGCCACAATTTCAACTTAGCAAATCCTTTTCCCACCTGATCAGACTGGCTGATCAACTAAGAAAATACAACCTAAGACCAGGATCATACATAATATATCCGATCATTGCAAAAGCAATAAAACACATTTACACAGAGCTGGCTGATTTAAAATCCAACAGACACCAACGGTTCTTTGTTTTATTTATTTATTTATATATATATATATATATATATATATATATATATATATAAAAACACTTTCTGATCTCCAGTCATTTGATTTGATAAAATAATTTATTGCTCCCTCTTATCTGCCAAAAATCTCAAGGCATTTTTCTTACACGTTTTGTCTCATTTACTCCACACTTGTTTTGAATAATATACATATATATATATATATATATATATATATATATATATATATATATATATATATATATATATATATATATATAATAGAGAGAGGAGAGATGGAAATTTTTGATTTCAAGAGAATTCATTTTCACAGGCAAGGATTTTTTGTATTCATCATTATAAAAGTTTCCTTCTGCAGAATTTATTGTTTATTAACTGACAATATCACATTTAACTGCACATAATATCAACTATTCTTGTAAACATCTTAAAAAGAATTTTTTTGCATTCATCTAATTTAAGCTTAATAACCCTGAATACATCTTATTTTATCATGAGGATCTTACTCTGTTTTCAAGTTAATCTTACATGGATTTATTACCTTCATATTTTCTTAGTTTACCTTTCTTTGGTGAATTATTCCTCAATTTTATTTTATCATCACTTTAGTCAGTAGAGACCCTCCCAGCTTCTTCTCATCTATAACACATTTGTTTTGAATTTTCTCATTTCTCAATCTGAAGTCTCCCTTCCTAGCCAAGTGAAAATGATTTTTTTTTATTTTTCTGGCACCTTGTAATAAAAAAAAATATATATGAATAAAATAACTGAGATGAGGTTGCTAGTTCAAATAATTGTATAAAAACTTCTCTTTTGAAAAGACATGGAGTGTTTCATCTTCATGCTTGATTTTCATTTATACAAAAAAGTTACTCCAAGTTTATCCTTTCTTGTTGTTCAGTTATTTAACATTATAGGATTTTCTACTTGTGGCTAATGTCTATCTCTGGGAATACATCAACCAAAGTTAGGTTTGGAACGGTTTCCTGAAAGATTTTTCCATGAATTTTTCAGCTTTTTCTATAGACACCCGATTTCCATAGTTAAAGAATATTTTCTCTGCAATTTCTTTCCATGCCAAATACTTCTGTTTATGCTCATTAAATCATGTAACATTTCTTCCAGAGATGCCACCCAGTGCTGTTCATGGCAAAATAATTGTTCCTTAAATTATCCTTTTGTTTATTACCTGAACGTCTTGACTGACAAATAATTGTCAGACAATGCTTGAGAAGTTCATAAAACAAGTGAGAACAAGACATGCACACATGGAGCTTTGATGACTGCAACTTCTTCTATGGTTTGCTGATCCAAATCAGTGATATATTTTCATCATGCACAACAGACATATTCCTTCCAGTCAAATGCCAATGAATGTTAAGTGAAACGCAAAGCTGATGCTGACCACTACAAAGTTGGTGGTGTGTTTTCCAAGAAAAAAAGTGACATTTAATGAAAACACTTTTGTTGCACGTTTCCTGCTCTTCAAAAAAGAAAATATAATACAGAAAAATGTCAAGGCTTTCATTTTGATGAAATAAGTTTGTCCAGATCCTTTCACTATAAAGACCCAACGTTTTTTTTAAGTTACCGATATATTTCATGGATCTATACACTGATGGAATGAAAATACAGTGTCTTAGGAGATAGGATTTATTCTCAAGCACCTGCCATCTAAATACAGACATGCTAAAAGTAAATAGTCACTTGTATTTTAATATTTCCCTTATTGAATTGTATAAAGAATTGAAAAATTTTGAAATTTGGCCAACTTGCCAAAAGTAGGTTTTTTTATGTATCAATTTTCATCAAGAGAAAAAACCAAAGATGCAAGCTATTAATTGGAAAGATCAAAATTAAACAAGTACAGAAGGTAAAATATTTGGGAAGTATTTTAACAGAAGACATGAAATGTGACAATGAAATCAGAAAGCACATTGGAATAACAAAAGATGTCCTCCAAAAGCTATGTCAAGTATTAAGAAAGAAGAAAATTTCATTATAAACAAAAACAAAAAAGCAGCCTCAAAACCTCCAATATAGCAGTGAATATTGGACAATTACCTCAGGATTGAAGAGGAGACCTAAAGGCAACAGATATGGTTCTACAAAGAATGCCAAGAATACCATGGAACTAGCATGTGATTAATGAGAAAGTTTTCAGAAAAATAGAAACAATTAGGATGCTTATACTTAGAAACAGAAAGAGTCAGTTGAAATTTCTGAGACACATCATGAGGAAAGAAGAATTAGAAAATCTGACATTCACAAGACATATTGAAGGAAAGAAGGAAACAGTGATTAAACTACCTAATGAGCTTATGTAACTGGATAGTAGAACACAGGGTAGTAAAAAGACATATATTGCTAAAAACTACAATTGATAGGAAGTTATGATCCCCCTCCAGGTAATGAAATGATACATCACCTTGAAGAAAAGGTTATCATTTGTAACTAACAAGCTACATAGAAAATATAAAGTAAATCATATTTTGAGAATGTTTCTGGATTTTTTTGTGATTTCAAAATTCAAAATGGTCCAGATACTGCTTCTGCTTAAAGAATAAACTGGTCATCATTATCATTCAAGAACTTGTTTTGACCTGCCATTTTCATGTCTTTTTAGTGTATAGAATATAAATCCATTCTCCCTGCAAAAATGTAGTTTATCTAAATAATTGTCAGTGAAAATTGGGAGACAAATAGATTCATAATTTTCTGAATTTGCATTTCCTATGCTCTTTACGAATTTTATAAATCCATTCTTCCAGATTTATTCTTCTTAGTCAAAGATTTGCAAGCATATCTCACCAAACTCTTTGCTGAGCAACCTCCAGACCAATAATCATGTACTGGAAGCAAATGAGGACTCATCTGAAATAATAGTTGTATGCCAAAGCTCCAAGTGTTGATGCCATTCTGTACTGACCTATTCCATATTCAGTTTGCTTATGGCCAAATCACATTGAAACACTGCTTGCTGTACAATCACTAAAGTTAAGCAACATTGTGCCTGGTCAATACTTAGATGAGTGACTGCTTGGGAATACCAGATGCTGTAAGCCTAGATTTACAGGTGGTGTAATGGATAATGGCTCAGGATTTTTAATCAGAGAGCAGAGTGCCAATTTCCACTTGGTTTGTTATATTCATTTACACACAAATACCCTTGGGAAACGTATAAATCTACTTCTCTTCCGTGCTATGGGTTAATTAGTAAGACTTGTATAGCTAAACCATTATTATCTAATAAAAAATATTATCTAAAAATATTTTATGGCTTTAGATAACCTGCAAAGCTTTGATAAG